ATAAGAGCCTGTGTGAGTTTCCTAGGGAAGCTGTAGGAACGTACCACAAACTCCATGGCTTCAAACAATAGAAGTTAGTTGCCTCACAGTTCAGGAGGCTAGAAGTTCAAAATCAAGATGTCAGCAGGACCACGGTCCTTCCCAAACCTGCTGGGGAGTCCTCCCCAGCCTCTGCCTGGTTTCTGGGGATTTCCCGGCTGTCTTTGTCATTCCTTGCAGCTGCCCCACTCCTGTCTTCGCATTCGTTGTCAAATGGTTTTCTCCCTGTATGTCCCTGTCTTAACATGTTAGTCTTACAAGCACATGAGTCACATTGGATTATAGACCCACACTCTTCCAGAACAGTGTCATCTTAACACTATATTTGAATCAGCCCTCTGTCCAAACAAAGTTACATACATTATGAGGTACTGGGTGTCAGGACTTCAACATATCTTTTTTGGGGAACACAGTTCAACCCATAATAGGTCACATGACTTTCTCCTTCGCTCTATTAATATGATGGATGGTATTGATGGATTTTCAGTTATCTAACTACCCTTACCTGGCTGGAATTAATCACAGCCACAATATACACATATATTTTCAGATGAACTGTTGGATTTAGACTGTTGATTATTTAAAGAGTTTGAATCCTATTCACGAGAGTATAGGTATTTTCCTTTTGGTACTCTTTCAGCCTTTGAGATCAAAATGCTTTATAAAAGGAATTTTTAATTTTATCAAATTCTTCCAGAATAAAGTAAGTAGCACTGAGATTATCCATTCTTTAAAGGTTGAATTTCCCTGTGAAGCCATGTAGGCTTGGTGATTTTGTTAGGGGAAGATTTTTAATCCCTTTCTCTAGTTCTTCTATGATAATTGGTCTGTTGGACTGTCTGTACAGGGTCAATTTTAGTAAATTGCATTTTCCTTAAAAATTATGTTTCATCAGCATTTTCAGTGTTGTTCGTATAGGGACACATAAAATACTAAGGATTTAAAAAATTCCATCTGATTTTGATGATAATTTTTCTCTCAGCATTTCTAATTTTGTGCATTTGTGTTTTTTTCCTTTTGTTGGGTTAGTTAATGGTTCTTCTATTTTGCTGACATTTTTTTCAAAGAACCCATTTCTGGATTTATTCATTTCATTGTTTTTCTCTTTTCTAATTTAATAATCACTGTTTGCAGTTATCTTAAGGTACCTATAAATTTCACAGATCTGCTGGGTATTTCTGATCCCAGATTTGAGAATTACAGCTGTGGTACATGTAGTTTTTTTACTGGAAATTATCCTTCTGATGCCCCATGTCTTTCATTACACTGTTGTTTTCATATTATACTTATTTGTGTATGTGTATCTTATTTATGCAACAGATGGAAGCTTTTGAGGCCAAAACTATCATATTTTGGGGGGCTGGTAAATATTGATATTGTGGTTATGAACTTAGAAAATCAATGTAAATAGGAAGAACCTGCAGTCAGCAGCTTCCAAAATGGCTCCTGGTGATCCTTACATCCTAATATTCCCTCTTCTGTCTCATCCCCTCGCCCCTTGAGTATGGGCTGGACCTAGTGACTTGCTTCTAGCAAGTAGAATATGAACAAAAATATTAGGATGCTACTTCCAAGATCAGGTTATAAAAGGTGGCTACTCTATCATGCTCTGATCTCTCCCTGTCTCTGGTTCTTCTTGTTTGCTTACTCTGATGAGGGAAACTATGCTGTGAGCTGTCCTGTGAGAGGCCTATGTGGCAAGGGAGTGGGGGTGGCTGTTGCCAATAGCTGGCAAGGACATGGATACCTACTAACCACTGCTTAAGTGATCTTGGAAGCTAATCTACCTCCAGTTGAGCCTTAAGATTACTATAGCCTTGACCAGTGAGACCCCCCCAGAGCCAGAAGACCCTGTTAAGATGCACCTGGATTTCTGACCCACAAAATCTTCGAGAGAATAATTGTTGTTGTTTTCTTTAAGCCACTATTTGTGGGATAATTTGTTATGCAGCAATAGACAACCCATAGAGAGTCCAAGCCCTGGGTATCTGTCTTGATCCAGAACATTTTGCAAAGTTCAAAACTGAATGGTCTAGTTGTAATTTTTAGAAGTGACCTGCTCTGTAGAAAGGTAACTCCAAGTCAGAATTTTAAATGCCATAATGCAAGTAATACCAAAGTTTTTCATTTAAAAGGTATTTTCCACATCACTTTATTTTAAATCCCTCATTATGATTGATTAAAAATAAGAGTTTTCCCCTTGAATTTACTAATTTTTAGTGTTTTTTAAAAAATTGTATCTGCATATGAGTATTTAGAATGTGCCAAATTGATGGCAGACCACCTAGATAAAATTGGGCAGATGATGGGTTGAATTGTAACACAAATTTATATTTTACAACATTAAAGCCAACATTGGTTGGATTGCCATATTTGGTGGAGACTTCCAACTGTCCACCAAAAATGTGTCCTCCCCTCTTCCTCAGCAACGCAGCTTAAGCTGGATATGGGCTGCCTGCTAGAGATGGCCTTTCCAAGCCTTTTTGAGCCATGTGATTAGTTCTCACTGAATGAAAGTCAGGGAAAGCTCTCTCTGAATTTCTGTCTCTCTTAAAAAGAAATTGCTGCTCAGGACACTCACTGAGCTTCAGATGTGCCTGTGACTCAGCTTTGACCAGGCAAAAGACGACAGTGACCTAGGGCTTGGTTCCAGGGAAGAGTGGAGCAATAAGATGAAAAACACCTGAATCACTGTGCAGCCTCATGGAGGCTCTCATTAACCCAAACCACTCACCATGAGACTGTTACATGAGAGGACTTAACCTTTAACTAATACATCCTCAGCTAGTCCTTTAAAATAAGTCCTTTAGTGGTGGTTACATATAAACAATTGAGTGAAGTACAAATAACTGGATTTCTGACCTTTGGGGGAAAAGAAGCAGTAAAATGTATGCGTGTCAAGCCTGACTAGCGACCACTACAGGTCATTTCCCCGCATCGACTTCATTTGCAGGACTTCAGGCTACCCTTCAACATCTCCAATTGTTACATGAGAGCAGACCTTCAGCCTACCACTTCTTAAAGACATTGATTTTTGTTTAATTGGTTGGGAAATTTCTGTTTAGAACATCAGCCTGTGCCAAGAATGTGGGAAGCATGCCAATCACTGTCAGAAGTAACTGTCTCTTTAGTCTCATGCAAGATGTTCAGAGCCAAATTCTCCTGTGGATTTCTTCTTAGATTGAATGGCTCCAGCATGATACATACTATATGGCTATGTCACTAGGTGCTGTATAGAGCTTATCTCAAAATTTTTCACAAGTCTTACAGGAAAGAGAAGAAGGGAGGATGATCATTTCATCACAGAAGACACAGGCACACAGTGACATCTCAAGTGTGAATAAAATGAGAGTTCTTGTGGCCAGGATTCTCACCTGGCTGTGGTTCACTAGCTCACTGCACACCTGTGGGCACTACATGGCTGTTGACTCTATAAAAAAGAGCTCTGCCCAGTGTTCTGGGGGCGACACGGTGGCAGGGCTGCAAAGCTGCAGGAGAGCAGAGCAGAGGCTGGAGTGGTGGCAGTGCTGAGGACAGAGGCTCAGAGGACAGCTGTGCGGGATGGCTGTGTAGAGAGGCCCAGAGGATGGCTGTGCAGACAGAGGGGCCCAGAGGCAGAGACTGGCTTGCTGCATACAGACTCGCTCTGAGTGAATGGGATTCTAGTGACTGACCTGCCACCTGGAAATAAAGTTGGTTATAACCCTTTCACCCCAAGAACGTTTTGCTGTCAATTTTTTTGGTGACACTGAATCCATAACGAACTTGCCCAGGGCTGAAATCCATTGGCAAGACAGCAAGTCACTGGAAGCACCTGGTCCTCCAAGGAGACAAAGTATATTGTCTGAATGTACAATTCTTTGGTGTCACACTATATGTTTGCTTGGCTTCTTTTCCCTAAATGGGAAAAAGGAAAATTAATGTATCAAATTTGGGAGATACATCACCCAAGGGTCTTCAAGGAGAACATATTCTTTAACATGAAAAGAACAGATTTAGAAACTCCAGCTTTTAAAACTAAATCAACAGTTTTAGCTTTGGTCCCAATGGCTGTAAATGACAGCAGCGCTGGGGAGAGGGACCTTCAGCTTCCAGGACTGGACATGACTGTGTGTGACCGCTGGATTGTGAGAGAAGCTCTCTGCTTCTTCAGGAAGAGGAAAGGGTACCTCCCAAGAGTTTCACTGCTCTCTCTGCCACCTTGTTCTTGCTCTCCAGACAGGACTGGGGAGGAAAGCAGAAGCTAAGGCATGAGGAAGACCAAATCATCCTTGAAAGCTACTCCAAAAGACTTCCTGGACTAAAAGGACAAGTGGATAGGCAAGGGCTACCAGGAATCAGCGCAGCCTTCTGCTGCGAACTGAAGACAGAAGGATTGAATTGCACTTTCGCTGCAGGCTTACAGCTGGGTCTAGTTGAACTGCTGCCCCTCACTGCCCAGTGAGGAAGCGCAGAGGCCCTCGGGGATCTCAGCGCCTTCAGACGGAGTTTCAGGAGGGAGGAGGGAAAACCGAGGCCAAGCGGCAGGATTTTCCTTTGCCGCCCTGCTGGGAGCAGGTGCAGTGAGGTGAGATGTCAAATCCTTCTCCCCTTCCTTCCGCACCTGTTCTCTTCCAGTCTAAGGTTCTGGACTATCTTGTTCTGTCTTCCCAGTGCCACTGAGTAAATAGAGGCTGAGTGGAAAAAAGAAGGGAAGGACAAGCATCCTTTTTCTCAGTGCAGAAAACCGTGAATGGCGTTTCCTCTCCGCCCATCGAGAAGTGTTCCCCAGTTGCCAAATACAAGGGCGCGGAGAATGACTCAAGAGCCGCCGAACCTCCCGGGTTCTTGGGCAAGCTCGGGGGAGTTCGGGCCTTTGGAGAGACGCTGCCTCACGAGGGGTTTGGAAAGAACTTAGAACCCGTCCCCCAGGGACTCACTCTGCTCGCAGGAAGCAAGCAAAGGCGGAGTGAAGGGCTGGGTGCCAGGGGCTGGAGGGCAAATCCGACCCCACCTGGGCTCCAGGGTGAACTAAGGTCACGAGGACATCGGCCCGCGCCGGGCGGGCCGCCTCGCGCCGGTCCACACGTGGTCGGCCCCCTGCAGCCGGTGGCCTGCCCGCAGCGGGGCTGCCGGGAGGGAGCCAGAGCGCGGAGGAGACACCTGGACCCCCGCCCGGTTCCGAGCAAGGGAGTCGCGGTGAACGCCCCGGCCCGCCCCGGGGGCGGCTAGGCGGCCGGACGTGCGGGCGCGAGGGGAGGCGGACACCTGGGCGGTGCGCGGGGGCGGTGCTAGGGCCCGGGCGGCGCACCTGTTGGCCGGCGTCGCGGCCCCGCCCGGCCTCCGCCCCCGGACCCGACCCGCCGCGCCGAGTGTGAGGGCCGGCGGGGCTGCCGCGCGGCGGGTGCACCATGGCCGAGCTGCTGCGGAGCCTCCAGGATTCCCGGCTCGTCGCCCGCTTCCAGCGCCGCTGCGGGCTCTTCCCGGCGCCGGATGAAGGCCCCCGCGAGAAGGGCGCGGCGCGGCCGCTCGGAGCCGAGCATCCCTCGGCGGCCCACGGCCCGGGCGGCGGGACCCCGGCCAATGGGCTGCAGAGAGCCGCCGCCCCGCAGGTAACCGCGCGCCCGGTGCTCGCCGGGCTCGGGGAGGGGGCCGCCCGCAGAGCCTGCGGACCTGCCGGTCGGGGCGACTCCGCGAGCGGGGGCTGCGAGCGCCGAGCCCGCTGGCCAGGGAGGGCGTCAGCCCGGCGGCGACCCGGCTCCCGGCGCGGTGGGCGGAGGAGAGGCGGGGGGGGCCGGGGATCTGATCACCAAAGCTGCCTGGTGGCGACCAGGTCTGTTCGGACTGAGGATGCACCCGGGGCTCTGAATGTTTAGAAACCTACCTTCATTAAATAGTTAAATTTACGTGCGTGTATATTCTCCCAAAGGTATAAGGGTTATGTGATTGAAAAGAGGAGCGACGTCCTTGGCGTTTTCACGAGAGGCTTCCCTGGGGAGAAATTCTGAGCACCCCCAGGATTCCTGAGTTTCCACCCCATCCCCCTTCCCCGATCTGCGCTACTGGGGTGTAGCAAGCGGGGCGCGCTTCATCCTGCTGCATCGCCAGCTCTGAGGACAGAACTTCGGTTTCAGTGTTGCCCTGGAGAGATTTACGATCCCCCCGCCTCTCCCACCCCCACGGTCCGGGGCTGGTGTCGCTCTACCTCCCTCAGGGGCTTGAGGGCCCTTCTGCCTGGTGGTCTTTTCTTAACTGGCACCAGTGACATTTAACAGATGCTTCCTTCCAGGCCCTGAGTGTGGTTATACAATCCACTGCAGCTCTGGGAAGCCAAAGTGTGTTGTCGTCGCAGTGCACAGGGACTCCTGGCTGGAGTGACCCAACAGGCTGCAGATGCTAAGGAGCCAGGGCTGCAGCCTGCCAGGGCGACGGCTGCCCCCAGGGAGAGAGGGCCCTCTGCAGCAGTGAGATGCCGTGGGCACCCACAGAAGCTGCCCTTTCCCTGGAGGAGATGAAAAGTGTGGCACATGAGGACGGAAGCAATTCCAACTGCTTTTTGGGGGGAGTGGAGGAAGACACGTTTTTTTCTTCCTTAAAGTTTTAGTGACAGAAAGAGGGAATTTATGAGATTTCTAGATCTGGTAACTGAGAAATTATGAAGAAACTAGCTTCTGTGTGGAATGGAATATTGTGGGATCTGAATTGCAGAATTTGAGAGGGTAGGGGTGGATTGTGTGTTCCACTCCAGAGAAATCCTCTATATTTTTCTCCTTTTGTTGTTTCTTTTCTGTCCCATGTAGCCTCTGGTAACTTTTAGGTGAGTTTGAGACACCTCGCCCCCACTTGCTCTTTCCCTGTTTTAGAAATGGGGCAGATTCAGGGGATTAGAACCAGTTGCAAGGCTGAAGGGTGGCACCCCGCGTTCTGTGTGCATACCCTTTTACCTGCTGCTTTCTGACGCTCTCTCCTTAAGCTTCTGTTTCCCTAAGTCAGGAACCTGAAGAACAGTGCATCTTTCCACTGTACTTTCCAAACTGTTTTAAACATTACCCTTGGTAACGAAGCTTTAAATTCTGGAAAAGGATCCTCTTGCCCTTTCAAACCAAGAGAGGCAGGAATACAGAGAGGTGTCCTGCTGCCTGAAGGGCCTGAGCATTCAGTGAGCCAAGCGGTGGTGGGATTCCCCCTTCCCAGCCAACCCACGACTTCCCCACTGTAGACCATGACAAAGTATAAGCTACAAATTCAAGATAAGAAGTTGAAGATTTTTGAAAATCATTTTTTTTCCACATAGCCTGGAAGTCAGCATTGACTTAAGACCCTTTGAACAATGGGAAAGTGTTTTCTTCTTTTGAGTGACTTTAGATTGCGCTAAATCTAATTTTTCTTACCTCTCACATTTTTTTTCCATTTATTTTAATTCTCCAAACAGGACCAATGCGGAAATGATTAAGGGCTTCCTTTACAAATACTCACAACAACACACACTGCTGGCTTAAAGATTAACTACATCTTTTGCAAACCAGGGCTGGGCTTGGCTTGCACAAAGCTGTCATTGAATGAGTCAAACTGGACCTCAGAGATCCCCAGTAGTCAAGAATATCACGGGCAGAATGTCTAAGTCTTAGAGGTTAAATGCTGAGGACTTCCCTGATGTCCACGCAGTCAGACTTCTTTTCACGCTTGACTCTAAACTTTCTGCTGTGCACCTTCCAGGGAAAAATTCTAAGGCTTTGTTTTGTCTCATTGAAAAGGTGTGAGGTGTTGGAGCTGATTGGGAGCAGGGTGGAGACTGGGTGGGAAGAGAAAGCAATGTTTTGTGATGCAAGGGTACTGTGCAAGGACATTCTTGGCAGTTGCCAAGAGCCAGAGGCAGGGATCCTGGATTGAGCTAGGTGGTCAAAGGTCTTGTGTTCGTTTTGCGGTAAAGCCAGCATTGAATATAATGGAATTTTATTTCTGTTATCTTTGCTTTCAGAACACAGTTGCACTTAGACTTTCCTTCACCATCATTACATTAGCCTGGAGATAATCTTTCTAAATTTTGCTGGGTTCCATAAATAGTGTTTGATAATTGTTAGTGCAGTCAAAGTTCTGAAGTTGGATTGGGGAGGGGGCCCAAAGATAGGTTATGTTTAGAAGTCTGGCAACTCCTTTTCCTCTTGCAACATGTTGGGGCACTCAAGTCTGTCAAGCAACAAAACCCCACCCTTAATTTTATTGGCTTGCTTAAGTGCAAAGAGCCATCGTAGGAATTAGGAGACATGGGTCTGGCTCTGTCTCCATATCATTTTGCAGTGCTCTGGGCCTCGGTTGTCCCATCTGCAAAATGATCACGGTGGAATAGAGCCGTGGGTTTCCAACTGTGGCTGTACATTCCAGTCAGCTAGTGAGCTTTAAAAACAAACAAACAAAAAACCCATGTGCAGGATACAGGTCAGACATGGAGCCCAGAGAAGCTGGCAGACAGAGGTGGGAAGCTCTGAATTCTCTTCTCCTGGGACCTACCTACCCTTCTTATGTATTCAGGATGAGGTTATGGCTGGAGGTAGCAGTCATAGCAGCTGAGACATTTTGGCTTGATTTTAACTAAACTGGCCAATATCAAATTTAAAGTTTTGGTTATCTCTGTGGATATTCAGGTGTGAAATGGTTTAAAATAAGCCACTCTGAAAGACATGTTTGATCATTTTTTTCTATTTACAGTTACTATTCAGATGAGAAAACTTGGAAAAACACAACGAAAAAGTTAGATGCATGCCCATTACACCACACCCAAAGATAATCACTCAGTAAATGTTCAACTTGATTTTTAATGAGTATATATTACTCCAAAGCATGTGTATACTGTAATTTCGTTGACTATGGCTAGGCCTTTAGATTGTTTCCAGTTTTTGCATTAGAAATAACATCTCTTTGTGTAAGTATCCACATGTCTTGATTGTCTTCTTTTTTACTGAGCTACAGCTGATATAAATTATATTAGTGTCAGGTGCACAACATGATTCAATACTTGTATATATTGTGAAATGATTACCACAGTAAGTCTAGTTAACATCCATCCCCATAGTCACAATTTTTTTTCTTGCAATGGGAACTTTATAATCGCTCTTAGCAACTTTCAGATATCTAAGACTGTCATCATGCTGTATGTTACAACCCCATGGCTTATTTATTTTGTAATTAGAAGCTTGTATCTTTTGATTTCCTTCACCCATTTTACTCACTCCCTGCCTCTCACAACCAGTCTGTTCTCTGTACCTATGAGTTCTGTTATTTTTTGGTTTTTGGTTTATATTTTACATTTGAGGGAGATTATACACTGTCTTTCTCTGACTTATTTCGCATAGCGTAATGCTCTCAGGGTCCATACATATTGTCACAAAATGCAAGCTGTCATTGGTTTTATGGCTGAACAATATGCCATTGTGTATATATTGCACATTTTCTTTACCCATTCATCCATCAGTGGACACTTAGGTTGCTTCCTTGTCTTAGCTGTTGTAAACAGTGTGCAGTGGACATCAGTGTGCAGATTATCTTTTCGAGTTAGTATTTTCACTTTCTCTGGATAAATACCTAGAAGTGGAAGTGCTGAACCACATGATAGTTCTATTTTTAATTTTGGAGGAATCTCCATGCTGTTTCTGTAGGGGCTGCATCAATTTACTTTCCCATCAATAGTGCACAAAAGGGTTCTCTTTTCTTCACATCCTCACTGACACTTGTTATCTCTCGTCTTTCTGCCATTCTGACAGGTGTGAGGTAATACTGAATTGTGCTTTTGATTTGCATTTCCTTGCTGATTAGTGATGCTGAGCACCTTTTCATGTACCTACCTGTTGGCTGTCTGTATGTCTTCTTTGGAAAAATGTCTATTCAGATCCTCTGCCAATTTTTTATTTGGATTGCTTTTTTCTTTTTTGCTACTGAGTTGTGTGAGTTCTCTGTATATTTTGGATATTAACCTCTTATCACATTTGCAAAAGATGATCTTCAAATATTCTGTCCATTTGGTAGATTGCTTTTTCATTTTGTTCATGGTGTCCTTTGCTGCACAGAAGCTCTCTAGTTTAATGTAGTCCCACTTGATTGTTTTTGCTTTTGTTGCCTTTGCTTGTGGTGTCAAATCCAAAAACCGTTGTCAATATTGATGTCAGCGTTTGATTATCATCTTAATTTAAATTTCCAGAGTGGGGAGTTGCTGGGTAAAAATATGCATATATTATTGCTTTTAATAGGTATTACCAAGCTGGGCCACAGAAAGAATGTACTCAGATGTGTAACTATGAGTGCAGGTTTCCCCACAACCTCACCAATATTGGATATTAACACTCTTCTTAATCTCTGGAGAAAATGGGCCACTTCTGCCTCTATATTATCTTTGCTGTTTTTATTTCCAGTCAACATTTATTGATTAGCTGCTGTGTTTCTGGGACGGTTCTTAGCCTTTAAGTTACAAGGATAACTAAAGAGTTATTTCCTGCCCTTGGAAAGCCACAAAGAAAATGGTGCAGTGCAAACTATACTCGAATAGAAGGCTCAATGTGTGGCCAGGGAGACAACGGCAGGAGCAACTCACCATCCATAAGGGAGTCTGTGACATCTTGAG